GCTGATCAGAAGTGATGGCTTGGCATACAACTTTTTAATCTTCTTTTATTCAAAAGTATTTTTTAACTCAACCTTAAAAGTTGTGTTCACCAATACTTTCACAGAGATTGATAACTCAACTTAAAGGATTCTTCTGTGACAAACTGCATTTGTAGGAATTTTAGAGGTAATCTCAAAGTTTCAGAGGATGTTTATCACAGAGAGTACAGGGCAACATTTCCAAGTTGGTACACATAAACGAAAGAGAAAACGACTGTTGGAGAAATCCTGTTCCAGGTTTTCAGGCAGCCCGCGTGATTGACACATGATATCACTGGAGGCGTGTCCTGGAGTGGAGGTGGAGGTGGAGGCGAGCTGCTGAAATTCTGCGGAGCCGGAGTGGGATTGCTCTGTAAGGCACGCAGTGGTTTGCAGAGTGATAGCAGCAGACCGAGCTCCTTACCCTGGATAAGGAACTGCTACAGTCGCTGTAAATGTGCCTGAAAAGCAATTTCCAATCTTTGCGTTAGGTAAGAACTGTTTCCTTCCTTTCATTCCGTAGATATTTTAGGAAAGATTAGGTGAGAAATGTTGGCTTTTACAAGAACTTGAACATTTCTTTGAACTCGCTTTGGATGTAAGATTACTGGTTGCATTTCAAATTACCAGTAGTATTCCCACTGCTAAAACTAATGCTTTTAAATGCTACTGTTAAGAGAAAAAACAGGGTCCCTTTCATTTTTTTTTTTTTTTCCTTATCCGAAGGGTAACAAGTTTAAAGTCTGAAACGGTCGGTTGTGTGAAAAACAGAGTGGTTAATGCCGAAGAGGGTCTGGCACTCGGTGTGTGGACCAAATACATGTTTGTTTAGGCATTGTTGGCGACCGAAGCCCGAGCGAAGCAATTGTTTAAAACCTGAATTTCCCGTCTCTGTGTATTGATTTCCAATGCGCAGAGGCGTTGCTTGAACGTTGTTTGAACTCCTAGGCATTCCAAGGGGCAAAAGCACTTCGGCAAAACGTGCAAGACTGCATGTTACTTTGGTTCGCTGCTGACACGCCGACTGTGCGCCGGCCTGTCAATCACTGGAAGCAGCAACAGCCAGCACATGGCAGCGGGCTGCGGGCGGCGGGCGAGCTGGCGAGCGGCCCACCCCGCTCTACTCTCCGCCCGGGCGGCTGAGCGCGCTACGCGTCCAAGTGCCTAGAAAGAAAAGGAAATTAATGTTTTGTTTTGTTTTGTTTTATTTTCCCATCGATAATCCTCTGTAGCAGGCATTTCGGCCGTGGAACAGGACGGTCGGAGGACTGGGAGTGAGCGCTGCCCCGGAGAGGCTGACCTGCCAGGACCGGAGTTCCGGGGGACACTGTGCCCCCCACTTGCCCAGCGTGCAGGATCGGTTAAGTGCCTCGACCTGCGCGGGGGCCAAGAGACGACGCCCCGCCTCTTCCCTTGAGAAGAACCCCTCCAGCCTCAGTCCTTCCACCGCTACCCCTAAAAAAGCGGGTAAAAAAAAAAAAAATCCCACCCACCCCCGCCCGGGGAAGCGGCAGCCTCCGCCTCGCAGGCGTGCGCTCCCGGGCTCCGCCGGGGCCTGCGCGGTTCCGTGACCCGCCCGCAGACGCAGGTTCGAGCCCCGTCCCGGGCGCCGCAAAGTCTCGAACGTCCGTGACGTGGATTTTCAGTCATCAGGGGGCCGCCACTCCTTCCTTTCGCGCGAGGAGCGTTCGGAACCGGAGAAGAACTCACGCGGAGCACGGCGTGCCAGCCTGTGGGCCCGTCACGAACTCTTCTCACTACCGCTCCCCAGTTCGCTTTTCTGGGAGACTCGAGGGCCCCCCCGAAGGGATTTTTTTTTTTCTGGTTCGTGGAAGGGGGCTGCAAGAGAAAAGCCCCAGAGGTGGATGTTACTGAGCTGCGCGGCGAACGCGAGCTGTGAGAGGTCTGCTGCGCCGGGCCGCGCGCGGAGACTCCGAATTGTCCTCCGCAGCCGGAAGGGGGCCGCGGGGAGCGCTCCTGCCCGGTGGGGGCGGGGGAGGCCGCGGGCGGACTCGCCGCAGCAGGGGCAATGCCTCCTCGCCCTCCCCGCCGCGGTTGATGCGGCGTGAGCACGCTGCCGCCCGCACCGGGACCTGGGCCGGGTCGCACGGCTTGGTCCCCAGCTACCGCTTCGACCTAGGTGAGTGTCCGGCGGCCGCTCCCGGCCGGCGGGGGCGGGGGGGCGCGCGCACCCGGCTGGCTCTGCGCGGCAGGTGCGGGCTCCGGGGCTCGGAGAGGGGGAGGGGAAGTGGAGGGGCGACCCCAGCGCGCGGCGCCGCCCCTCCGGCCGCCTCTCTCCCGGGGCGCTCGGGGCTGGGGAATCGGGTGGGCGACCTTCGGCCGCGGCCGCGGACGGTGAGGCAGGGTCTCCCATCCCCAGTTTCCTGCAGTGCTGGCGCGGTGGCCGGGGTTGTCCTCTTGAAGGAGCCCTCCACGCGAAAGATGGGTTCTGGGAGGCTTTTGGGGTGTTCCCCGGAGGACTCTGAGGAACTTCGTGACTTGTGCCAACGGCGGGCTTTCTGTGAAGGAGTTTCCTCAGACCCGGGGCCGGGAAAGGGCGTGTGTGCGCGCGCGCGCGGGCGCGCGTTTAGGGAGGCAAACCTCGGAATTCGCGGGTAACCCCCTGGACGGAATTAGTCTGCGCCAAAGCGAGCTTCGACTTTATTCTTGTTTTGAGAGCGGTGGAACGGCGAGGGGAGGGGAGAGGGCGCTGCCACTTTAAAAATGGGAAGTCCGCCCTCCTGAGGTAATGGTAACCTCAGCCTCCTCCCCCTCCTCCTGCCCAAAGAGAGGGAGAGAGAGAAAACTTGTTTTCATTCATAACTTTTTCCTTTTCCTTCCTCTCCGTCAACTATTTATTCACCGCTTCTCCCAGCTCGGATTGCAGAGGGCGCAGCTCCACCGTCGTAACTTGCAGTGTGGCGACGCTTCTCTGCTGCCCCTGCCCCCGGCTCATTTCTTCCCGGCTCTTTAGGAATCCGGCTTTTCCTTTAAAGTGTAGACCTTTATTTCTGACTCTCCATGCCTTGGGCTTGCTTTTGGCGCCTGCCTTAGCTCTCAAGGCTCTCCGCGATCTGTAAGAAATCTTGGCGAGATGCGCAAAAATGGGTCGGAAATCCACGGTGATCCTTAGGATGTGATGGGACTGTACGAAAAGGTATTGGACTTGGAGTCCTGTTTCGGTGGGGAAGACAGGTTGCCGAGAGCGTGCGAGTGTGTTTGGGGCTGGATCCGAGAACTGTCAGTGCTTGAAAAGGGGCTTTGCTTCAGATCAGAGGTGGCTAATTTTCTTTTTATCTGCTAATCTGATTTACCAGGCAGCCTGAACTTCGTTACGACCATCATTTAAAACGCAGATGAAGCATGTGCCTGGTGTTTTTACTACACTCTTCAAATCCTGCACGCCTTTTTCTTAACTGTGGGATCTGACTTAGGACTTGGAGATACTCTGCTTTTAAAGCACTGGGTTAAGAGTTCTTTGCAAGGAGGAATGATCTTGTGTGTGCAGAGTATCGAAGGGGTATTTGAACAGTCCTTAAGGATTCCAGGACTAAACCAGGCAGATCATGAATGTGTTTCTTCTGTTGTACAGAGGAAGGCAGAGTTAAGGAGCAACCTGGGAGATCTTCGTTGGGAGAATGAGGGAGGGCAACTCCAAGAAGTTAACATAGAAGACAGAGTCTATAGACAATCAGTTTAGTTAACAGAATGAAATGGACTTCTGTCTGCCTTATTCCTTCAGCTGGTGTTTTGGCTCAAGGTGGCAGTTGAGAATGGGCATTTTTTTCTTTTCATTCTTGACTCGGAAGGGATCTGTAGACTTTAGAAGGAATTTGTGTGATTCCATTGGTTGAAATTGGAAATGTTCTTACGTTTGGTGGTTTTTTGGTGTGTGTGAAGAATGCATTATAAATTAGAAATAACTTACTATTAGTGTGGAAATACAAATGCTTACTTTTATCGGGATATTACTGTACTTATCTTATTTCAAGAAGCACATTGATTCAGAGTTGGCAGTGCTCTTGAGAATCAAGATCTGTCATGTAAATACAGATTCTTAAATTAGAGGAAATGTGGTAATTAAAATGGCCCAGATTTCTCCATACTGCCTTAAAGGCCTAATACTTATTTGTACATGAAAGTTATCTTGTTATGTGAGTGACCCCTTAATTTAAACTTTAAAAAAATCCTTTCATGATTTCAAATGTGAATGCTTTTTAACATCACAGCATTGAGTTTTGTGTGTGTGTTGTAGTGGCTGTAAAATACCAAGAGCTGTTGTATTCCTCTATACTCATCTTTACATCTTGTAGATAAATAATGGGTTACCTTTATAATCTTGGTTTCTATGTAAAATGCCCTCTTACTTTGAGATTCCATTTTAGTTTGATGTCTCTTGGATTTTTTGTAATGCATGAAGTATACCTTGACTAATTTCTCATTGTTAATCTAGTGCTTATAACAGTAAACAGCAGAAAGGCCATTCGTAATTTTTAGAAAGTGGATGTTTTCCTGTAAGGAAAACACTGATGAACTGATACGAGCTTTCTTTAGATGAGAGCTGTTTCAGGGCTTATCCTCAATATTCCCTATAAGGGCATACTCCATTTTAATTATTTGTTAGATTGACAAACAGGAAGGCATTACTTCTTGATTCTGCTTTTTAGAAGTTGAAAACAACTTTTCACTTTTATGGCATGGGGTCTCTTGCCTGCATTCTTCATCTGTGATGTGGTCCTCAGCCTCTTAGAATTGGACTCTGGCCAGGACCCCAGCATCATTGTAATCCGCTGATGAAGGAGATCATTACCAGGTGGTTTAGGCAATTTGTGACTTGACAGGATTTTCCCCCCCAAAAATGCTTCCTGTCATTTATTTTCTCTCTCTCTCTTTTTTTTTTATTTTTTCATCTTTGATTTCCTTTTAGGATTTCAGATGCATGCCAGGTTTCCACTGATTGCCAGAATTCGCGATCACTACACATGGATCCCCAAAATCAGCATGGCAGTGGCAGTTCATTAGTTGTGATCCAGCAGCCTACATTGGATAGCCGTCAGAGGTTAGACTATGAGAGAGAAATTCAGCCTGCTGCTATTTTGTCTTTAGACCAGATCAAGGCCATCAGAGGCAGCAATGAATACACAGAAGGGCCATCAGTGGTGAAAAGACCTGCGCCTCGAACAGCACCAAGACAAGAAAAGCATGAAAGGACTCACGAAATCATACCAATTAATGTGAATAACAACTATGAACACAGACCTACAAGCCACCTGGGACATGCAGGACTCTTAAATAATGCCCGAGGCCCCATTTTGAGCAGATCGACCAGCACTGGAAGTGCAGCCAGTTCTGGGAGCAACAGCAGTGCCTCTTCAGAGCAGGGACTGTTAGGAAGGTCACCACCAACCAGACCTGTGCCTGGCCATAGGTCTGAAAGGGCAATCCGGACCCAGCCTAAGCAACTGATTGTTGATGACTTGAAGGGTTCCTTGAAAGAGGACCTGACACAGCACAAGTTTATTTGTGAACAGTGTGGGAAGTGCAAGTGTGGAGAATGCACAGCTCCCAGGACCCTGCCATCCTGTTTGGCCTGCAATCGTCAGTGCCTTTGCTCTGCCGAGAGTATGGTGGAATATGGAACCTGCATGTGCTTAGTCAAGGGCATCTTCTACCACTGCTCCAATGACGATGAAGGGGATTCTTATTCGGATAATCCTTGCTCCTGTTCACAGTCCCACTGCTGCTCTAGGTACCTGTGTATGGGAGCCATGTCTCTATTTTTACCTTGCTTACTCTGTTACCCTCCTGCTAAGGGATGCCTGAAGCTTTGCAGGGGGTGTTATGACTGGATCCATCGCCCAGGATGCAGATGTAAGAACTCCAACACTGTCTATTGTAAGCTGGAGAGCTGCCCCTCCAGGGGTCAGGGTAAACCATCATGATTTCTGGAAGTGCGTTGGACCTCCTGAACTTCTGGCTTTCAAGCTGTGGCTGTTAAAAAGATTCTATGACATACTGGTTTTATTTTCTCTACAATTTTCCCACCTTTCTTCCCCTGTTCCTAAGGTTTGACTCATGGATCTTACTCTTCTCTAATGGATGATCTTCAGTAAGAGTGGACTGTGAAACTGCACCTGGCTCCCACTTATGACAAGAGCCTCTGCCATCCACGCAGGAGGGTATTGAGAGCCAGTGGGCTTTTGTGTAGCCGTTTTGTTCTGCAAGCAACTTTTCAAAAAGTTGTTGTATAAATGAACATACCCACACACATACCCAGTCAATCTGCAGTGATTTAGAGCTGTTTTTGATTGGGTACTCTGGGAGCAGGGAAACTGGTTTTTAAAGAAACAACATTTTTATTGCTTAATTAAGCTATGTGTTAAGTTTGTCTCCAGTAGGGCTGTCTTCATAGCATTGGCCCCTTAAGAAGCATGGGGGGATATATTTTTGTTATAACATAAAAATTTTCGTTTAACCACTGCCCTCTCCTTGCCCCTCAAAGTTCTTTCCCCTCAGTTTTTTTTTTCTGGAGATGCCAGGTATTTTTCTTTTCCTATGTAATTTTAGATTTGCTTTACAATATAAATCTTCACATTGGAGATAAATTGGTTGTTTCTTGCTCATCTTTATTCTAGCTTTCATGTTTGTGAAGGACTCAACTACCTTCCTGCCACACCCCACACTTTTTACCAAATTTCTCGTCATTGAGGGCACTTGGATAACTGAAGTTGATATTTACAGCTGATCAGTCTATAGGTGTCACAGAACTATGCTGCCTAAAGTGATCTTGGCCCTTTAATGGTCCTTTTGGCCCTTTGGTTAGCTAACAGCTGGGTAATTCTAATTTTTTCTGTGTTTTCATTGCCTTAACCACAAATTGTGGTGCTTTTTTGTATATTTTATGTATAAATCACAAAGTTGAATTCTGACTATTTTTAAGACAAAAGTCTGTTAAACTTTTTTATTGTAAAGAATATTTATTATGCGAATCTATTATTTTATGATATTTATTGCAAAAGACTGTTGAAATGTACTCATGTCTGAATATAACAAAATATCAATACGTAACGGAAAGTAAGGTGACACGAAGAAAGTACCTATGTTAACTATAATGCAGAAAATATATTAATTAATGAAACCGTCTCTTGATTTCTTCATTTATTAGCCTGTACTATTATGGTGATTTTTGTCATTTGCTTTGACTCTTTCTTCATGCACACCCATTTTATCTCTTAGGTGAGCTCAGATTTAGATGTTTCCTGGGAAATGCATTCATCAAAATTTTGTGATCCAAATTATCTTTCAACGGATGCCCTAATGAATCACTTTATAAAGTGAACTTTTTTTTGCAGTTAATATTAACAATCACTCTCTACTTTGGCTATTTTGTAAGCAAGAGGTTTTGTGTATATCATAATTTCTTGGAAAATGGAACATATCTGTAATTTATGAAAATGTTTTATTTTCTTGGATTAGTCAAAAATTAATCTTTATCAGTAAAACTTAAAGAACTTAGTTCTGTATGCATGCTAGGAGTCTCTAGCTCTGTCACTTTAGTAAAACATGCTAGATGTTAGAGTGTACCAAGAGAAATAGTTCACATTATCAAAGAGAGGCTTTAAAAACATTCCTGTCCCTACCTTTTTATTTTAATAAGTGTTTAGTATGGCCTGATCAAATGACATTTTGCCATGTTCTGTGGAATAAGATATCTCAGGGCCTGAAACTTTATATAGACAAAATAAATATTTTTATTTTTTGATCTGCTGAAACCACTCATAGCTAGAATCTTTGATCTGATAAAATTTCGTTTATGTGAATCTTCAAACTCAGTTTTATCCAATTCCCCATGCCTAAGTGCTATGTCAAACCTGAATAATTCTCTGCATTTCAGAATAAGATGCTGACAAAATTTGAACCTGTGATTTAGGCTACCAAAACTTTTTCTTACCAGCTTTTTTGTTTTGGTCATTATCTTTTAGATGATTTGGCTACTTGTTTTAGTACTTCTTTGTAAACGAGCCTTGATTTTGTTTTAATTGGACAAGGCATAAGTGATAGAAACTTGTTTTAATCCTTTCCCTCAAGCCAGTAAACCTATTAGTTGGCATTGTGACATTTGATATAATCAAAAATTTTCTCTATGCTCTGAAAGCAGGAGCATTTTTATAAATGAATATTTGTTTTGGAGGCTACTTCGTAATCTATAGTATTTCAAAATGTGAAGTTATTTTCTTTCATACTCAAGTTATGTAATGTTATCAGTGGTCCCTTAGTATTGGGTTTTTGTTTAAGATTGGCTCCTTAATGAAGTATATAAACACAGACTCCCTCAAAATACTGCATAATTTTTTTCTGTTATTATTCAGACTCTTGGTATAATTAGGATCTGGTGTAAGAGCTGTCTGTAGCTATAATACCCAGACTAAGAAGCTGTAGCTTGTATTGAAAGAGATTTATAGTGTTAATGAGAATGCGGTATGTTTTGGATTTTTAACTTCTGACTATATGCAGAATACATTAAAATTATAATATTAAGATGGTGGTCTGCTGCTGCTAGGGCTTTATGTGCACTCTTGCATGATTTGGAAGTAGCAGTATGTTAGAGTTTCAGACTTCTGACAGGCTTGTTAGATGGCAAAGCATAAACACTTTGATTCAAAACTTCCTTCTTTGTGAAGGTTTATACCTAGAAGAAAAAAATATTAGGGTGTGTCCTTATAAGTGCTTGTGAATTCTAGGCTTTCCAACCTAATACTGATCATCATTTTAAAGTGCTAAGTCTTTGAAAGCACCAGCAAAGCTGAAATTTTTTACAGTGCCCACTACCATTTATTTGATATTTCTTTCTTTTTTAATGTTTGTTTGTTTATTTTGAGAGAGACGGTGCGTGGGTGGGGGGAGGGGCAGAGAGGGAATCCCAAGCAGGGGCTCGATCCCATGAGCAGTGGGATCATGACACACAGACTGAGCCAGAGCCACCCAGGTGCCCCTATTTGATACTTTAAATGAAAATAACATACCAAATAGATGGGCTAGCTTTCTTTCCTTATTCCATGATTTTGTCCCTTTCCTCAGCTACTACAGTTTGACAGAAATAGTTCCTTTCCAGCATATTTTCTGACTGCCAATTTTTTCATTTCAGAGTTTTATTTAGATAATTTAATTGTGAATAAAACCAAAATGGGATTTCTGTAATTGAGTAGTTTCCTGTCAACAGTTTATAACCCAGCAGGAAAATGAAATGTGAAAAGCAGGTATGATTCTTTTTGTGAAGGCCTAAGGTGAAACCTTAAATTATAGTCTGCAATAATGATCATATGGTTTTCAAAATCCAAACCATAGAATATTCCAATTATTACTAAGAAAAGTGAAATGTAAAAAACAATGTTCTTTAAAGTGAAAGGAAGTGAGTTAAAAACTAGTCATGTTTTTACCTTAAAATTGATATCGGAACCAACTCAGAGGATTCAGTTCCAGAAGATTGATTTAAGTTTTGAAATTGCCTCCTTTTCCTAAATCTACTCTCTTCCCCATCTTCAGAATGATGTATTTCATGGCAGTTTTATGTATAGCTGTTTCGCGAAAAAGTAGGATCCCTTTTTGAAACATTGAAATAGTGAAACAAAGAACAGAGGGTCTAGACAGTTCTCATCTTAAACCGTACCCTACCTCCTATATATATATATATAT